AAAATATTTAAAATGTTTTTATTGGAAGTAAAATGACTAACTTGTGTTCTTGAATTAAAGGAGACAGAGGAGGATAAACACCTTTCTTCAAGATGCCCAACAGTGGTCCCCAGAAGAGAATACAGAAATGAGGGGCTGAAGAGGTAGGGTCAGCAGTTAAGAGCACTCACTTCCAGAAGACCAGGTTCAATTTCCAGCATGGCAGATCACAACTGTCTGTAACAGTTCCAGGGGATCCAACACCCTCACACAGACATGCATGCAGATGAATCGCCAATGAGCATAAAATAAAAAAAAAGAAGAAATGAGATGGACATTTTTATAAAACAAGTATTTGTAAAGAAGTTTATTGGTGTTAGAAAACACTCTGAGGGGCCAAAAATTTCATGGCAAGTGTTCAGGGTGGGTACAAAAACAGTGATGAATGCCGGCCATGCAGAGAACGGGAGAGTAGGAAAGACAGTGGACCAGAGACAGACAAGAATAAAATGGAAGTTAAGCATCTTGCTCTTTCCCTTTGAATCCTAGGTCTTTAAACATCCCCAACATTTGCCCAGCTCACTTTTATGAATTACTGCTGCCTCTTGGGTGTCTCTTCCCTTCCCCCTCTTGAGTTGATGTGATGTCTCCATGGGTGTTAATCTTTGCCAACAAATACTGGGTGGGAAGGAATAAATAACTGGTGTCTTAATATTATAGGACTGCAGACTTCAGAACAACTGTTCTCAAGGAGCTGTTAAGTAACCACTGCATAAATCTCATCCCTGACTTGGTTTGGATATGACAGTCTTGACTGTAGAGCAGATGCTCAATGGACTGCAGGCCATGAAACAGGTACTGGGAAGCTGTGTTTATGCAGCCCTGACCTCATTGGGTCACCAGATAACAATGAAAGCCTGCCATCTCTGCTTTCATCTGTGTCTATCTCCTTCAAAGGAAAAGAGAAAGAAAAGGGGGAGGCCTAGGGCTTCCTGCCAGTAGCCATACAGTAAACTCCAGAGTTATTCTAGAAACACTTAGCAAACCATGTCCAGAAGCTGTGTGAGGAAAATGTTTATAGACTGGAGCCTGTTCATGTGGGTAACCAGGTGCACATTACCAGGTAACTAATTTGTTTGCTTCTAATAGTCGCTACTTAAATTCTTATTAAGTTTGATTAGTTTTCCTTTCCATTACCATTTTCATCTAAATTTTTCATGTTTTTAACTTTATAAATAATTTGAAGTTTGAAAAATTATTTGTAGGTAGTCTTAAAAAGGCTGTCCTCACTGAGAAACACACTGTGTTCTACTGTTGCTGTTGTCCCCATCTTAAGAGACGCGGTCCAGACGAGCTTGAGATAAACAGGGCTGGCTCCCCTCTCATCATGTGTGCTGCTCTACTGTAAACAGCTTTCATCAACTTGAAAGGAGAATTTCCATTTCTGAAAAAATTTATCAAGCCTAAAAACAGTACGCAGCCACAGACATGTCTATAAAAAGATGTCTGTCAACTGTATCTTGTGCTTTAGAAAAAAGCTTGTTGCAGTTTTCAGCTCACTGGCAGCTATTTCCATGGGAAATCCTTTAGTATGGTGTAAAAACACAGTCACGACATGTTAAAGGTCTACAAACCAACTGATCTCTTCAGAAAGTCAGCTAACAGCTCTCTTTACATTCTGTACTATGAAATACAGCAACACCTTCCTTTAAAGGCTAAAACTATGTGACGCTAATTTGAAAGGTATTGAATGTCAAGAAAAGGCATACAGCCTGGACAGTGGTGGCACAAACCTTTCATTCTAGCACTTGGGAAAGGAGGCAGAGGCAGGTGGATCTCTGTGAGTTCGAGGACAGCCTGGTCTATATAGTGAGTTCCATGACATCCAGGGCTACATAGAGAAACCCTGTCTCAAAATACCAAAATAAATAAATCTAGAAAGAAAGAAAGAAAGAAAGAAAGAAAGAAAGAAAGAAAGAAAGAAAGAAAGAAGAAAAGCAAGGTTTCATTATAGATATTTGTTTACAGACTGAATAAATGTCAAGATCTTGATGGGTTTCCAAAAATTTCTGTATCAATAATATAAAAATTTGAAACAGCAAACAAACTCAGGCATAGTGGCACACACAGGCCTGTCGTCAGCACTTGGGAGACTGAAACAGGACTCTCATGAGTCTGAGAGCAACCCAGCCCTTAAATTCCAGTCCAGCCCAACCTATTTAAGGAGAACTTGTATCCCAAACAATAAAGATAGAACTAAATAAACAGGAAATAGTAAAATGCTGCCAGACAAGCCCTTTTCTAATTAACTAATACTTAACACACACATATATTGTTCATTGAAACAAAGTCTTGCTATGTAGATCTGGCCCACCTAAAATTCTCTGTGTAGTCCAGGCTTGCCTCAAACTTAGGGTCCTCCTGCCTTAGTTTCCCAAGAACTGGGAACACAAATTTGAACTACCATGCCTTGAGAGACAAGTACTCTGCCACTGAACTACTCCCCCAGTACTAACTATATATTAATCAACCAAGTCCTTTAAATAGGCCACTTCTTCACCTGTACAATAAAATAGCATCTCATACGGCTGTATAAAGATTAAATAAATTAAGTACATGAACTAATTAATATAAAATTTGCTCATAGTAAACAAGTTCTTGACAAATATAACCAAAGTAATGATGAGAAAGACTAATTAATACCCAAACAAAAACCTGCTAAAAAGAAAAATTCAGCTCCATTCCATGATCTCCAATGAGAGATGAAGGACTGGGGAAGAGGGCCAATCACAAATAAACAATAATATAATCAACCACCATAAAATAGAATCAATGGAGTCACCATAAAAATGCTAATGGAAGGGTCTGTAGAACTTCTAGACAGACAATCATGCACCACAATCCTACAGGGACTGTAGATCCTAAGAACTTTGGAGGCCTCCTCTTTCTTTGTGTCCTTTGACACCTTTTATAACAGTCTAGTAAACTCTATCCATGCTTCCATCAGTTCTGAGACTGGTTACAGCAAATATCAGACTGAGAAGGGGGTGGTAGGAATTGCCAGCTTGTAGCCAAGTCAGTGAGAGGTACAGGCCGTCACTATCTACAACTGGCATGTTTTCATGGGAATAGCTTTGTAGGGCTAACACTTAACTGATACAGTCTGCACTCTTTCCAGTAGTGTCAGAATTGAGTGTGTCATAAACAACCACTAGTGTCCACAAAGAACTAGAAGACTGCTTGGTAGTGTGGGAAGAAAACCCACACACTTTGCCTCAAAAGTGCTGGGAATAGAAATTGGGAGGGGGGGAACTGAAATGCTAACAAGATTAAAGTATGTGTGATAACAGGTTAAAATCCAAACAGAGGGGGTAAATGTTAAGCTTAACTTCAAAGAAAGAAATTAATGACAGTCTACACAGAGAGCAGTCATAACCAAACAGAGTTCAAACACCAAAGGGTACAGAAAATTTTGAAATAAGAATATGGCTGAGATTTTTCTGATACTGAAGTATCTGTGTACATATTCACACGCTTAACTGGGTGCTCAAAACCTTAACCTGCAGAAATGAAGACAAGATAATAAGTCCCAAGAGAAGCATTTGTCATGAGAACTGTTTAAAGTATACAACAGAGAAGGTGAAGAAATGCCCTCAAGGTTAATTAACTGGAATGTGTGTTACTGTCCTGCTTGACTCAAGCAATGCCAGCATCTATTCCAGACCCAGTGTTTAAAAACAGCCAAGGAACCGATTCTTGTCTGTGTGGAGGCGGAAGTTCTTAGTGATTCATATTTTATGAATAATTTTATCCAAAGAGAACATATCACCAAACACCCAGCCAAAACTATCACACGTCAATCATCGTCTAGCTTTATACATTGTGCTTTTATAGGAGATGTTTACTGTGGGTTGGCTATGGTTCAGTGGTAGAGCATTAGCCTAGCATGCTTGAGGCCCTGAGTTCAATCCTTAGCGCTCGCACACATACACAAAGTATTAATCACCCACTTATTGTAGAGCCAACCTAATTGAAAAGGAAAACACATCAGCTACAATAAATCATAACAGACCAATGCTAAAATTGAGCAGGGAACAAATGGTTCTGTAAAAATACCAGCAGCCTCCACCTCAGCCCTGAGGATAGGCCCTAGAAACTCAGTCTGACTCATACTAGAGAGGTGTTAACCCCTAACTCTCCTCCAAGTAGTCAAACCCAATCCCAAGAAATCTAGACTTATTAGACTAAAATCTTCTATCAATTCTGTTACCACCTGTCCTAGTATGGTTTCTGATGCTGTGATAAAGATCATGACCAAAAGCAACTTGGAGAGGAAAGGGTTTATTTGGATTACATATCTGGGGTCACAGTTCATTGAGAGAAGCCAAGGCAGGGACAGACTGCAGAGGCAGGAACTGAATGAAGCAGAAGCCACAGAGGACACTGCTTACTGGCTTGCTCCCCGGGGTTTGCTCAGTGCATTGCCCACAGTGAGCTGGGTCCTCCCACATCAATGAAGAAAATGAACCACAGGCCAGTCTGGTGAGGCCATTTTCTCAATTAAGTTCCCTCTTCCTAAATGATGCTAGCCTGCGTCAAGTTAACATAAAAACTTGCCAGCTATAACATACTTAAAGGTATGTAGAAAAGATCTTGATCTTTTCTAAAAATTTATATAATAAAAGTTCAAGGTTCAAGATAATTTGCATGAAACATATAGATGGATTATTTACTAATAACATTTGAACCCCAGACATCCAAAACTCATCCCATACTTTATGTATATCATCAAACCCACATTTAAATTTTACTGTGTGAAATAATCAAATTTTCTGAGAGATAATGGGAAAGATATGAGAAGGAATGACCGATGGACACTAAGCTAGCATTACAAAGGCATGAGCTCTTGTGTGCCGACACACAGCACAGTGACTACGGTATGAACTGAATATTCTAAACAGCTGAGAGGAAGGAGCTTAAAGTCAGTGCAATAAATGGACCAGGAGACAGACACAACTGACCTCTAAGGCAAGAGCTGCACTGCACTGTTCCCGTTCTAAACGCTCCAATAGCTTCCTCTTGATGGAAACAGATGCTAAATCCCATGGCCTGATTTCAAGGAGAGCAGCCTCTGCCTCTGCTGTACACCTCATTTCACTCCCTCTCACTCGCACCTTCCCAGCCCAGCCACACTCCCCTGCTTAGTTCCTCTAAAAAGCCAGTTTCCTTTCTGCTTAGGGCTTTTATGAGTTTTGTTTTTTGTTTTGCTTCAAGCTTTTGAATTTTAGCCAACTGCTTTCCATGGAGGAAAATGTCACACTGAAAGCCCCTGAAGTAAGGAAAAATGACATCCGTGTTCCTCTGCTGCAGCCTTGAAGGTTTTGAACAATTTATTGCATATGTAATTAAATAATTACATAATTCTGTAATGGTTCTCTCAACAGTAAGTAATCTCAAAGAGGACAAGGCCCACATCTTTCTACTCCTCACGAGCAGACTGTTAACACAGTAAGCACATTTATAGACATGATTTACTACACGTGAAGTGCTTGCTACACGTTCCCTCACTGAATGGCACAGTTTCACTACACTCATTCAGCATGTGAAGAAATCAGAATGCTGAGGCTTCCAGTCCAGAAATTTTACTACAGAGTCTATGTTCTGAGCTACTAATAAGTACTACTTAGTAAGTGTAGGGTGAAAAACATAATATGTGCTGATAAGACTAACAAATAAGCCAGCAGTGGTAGCTCACGCCTTTAGTTCCAACACTCAGGAGGCAGAGGAAGGCAGATCTGTCTCAAAAAAAAAAACAAGAAAACAAAAACAAAAAACTGACTCCAAGGAGAGAACAGTAGAGGCATAAGGAAACTATAAATTTCTAATGATGGGAACCCTTTCTGGACCAATCAATATCAATATTGACAATATAAGAAAAAAACCCAAAGTACTACTCAGATCAAATGAAATCAAAGAGGTCAGTCAACTATATCCAATGTGGGATTCTTGGCTGAAACCTATACTGGAAGAAATGCAGTAACAGGCATTATTGACAACTGACAAAATTAAAGGCATAAATGTGCCATCTATTGTATGAAAGATGATAATTGTCCTATGGTACACCATTCCCCACCATCAGCTATGCCAGCAATCTTTAAGTCTTACCTTTAAATGAAAGAGATTTAAAGGGTACGGAAGGATAAAATAAATATAAAAAATTATTCTTCTTTGTTTAGTGACCTAAAACAGGAAGAACAGTTATTAAATGGTCTCGGAAATGTGCATAAATGCTTTACATATAATCAACTGTTTTGATCAACAACAGGACTTAGGTTTGTTTTTCTTACCCTCAGATTTTATGTCAAGCACATACTAGTAATCACTAGGCCCTAAAATGCAAGGTACTTTCCACAGCATTCTCGTGCCAGGCATTGTGGGTACTGGGGACATAATGAGGAATGAGAAGATACTATCCACAAGGCATGATGGTGCATACCTTTAATTCCCGCACTGGAGAGGCACGTGTAAAGTAATCACGGCTAGCCTAGTCTACATAGTGAGCTCTAGGACAGGCAGGACTACACAGATAGACCCAGTCTCAAAAAGAAGAAGGAGGCGGAGTCATCATCCTTATCACAACATAAAATTCTCTTTATATTTGAGGAATCTGAGGCTCCTTTAGGTTTAGCCCCTGGGTTAAGATCAGATGGCTGTAGCTCGGGAAAGACAACATACAAATCCAGGTCTCCCTCCAAATCTCATCTAGGTTATCTGCGCTGTCCCAAAGCCTTTAACATATATATTAGTCATATTATAATATGTCATATATAATATAATACATTATATTATATATTAGTCAACAGTAACTAATAAAAAATATATACATATAAGTTCACTTTTAATTTCTCCATTTCCTCTATTTCAATCTAGATTTCTTCTTTGAGGGTGTGTCTGTGTGCGTGTGTGCACAGTGCTTGTATGCGTGTATATGTGTACTGTATCTATGCAACTACGTGCGTGTGTGGAGACCAGAAAAGGACACTGGTGTTCTGTATCTTGCCTTAACCTTTACAGACAGGTCAAGGTCTCTCACTGAACGTGGGACTAGGCAAGTAGCCAGCAAGCCCCAGGGATCCTCCTGACCCTGCCCCCCAGTTTTACATGTACCTGCAGCAATGGCCGGCTTTTCACATGGACCCTGGGATGCAAACCCAGGTCCTCCTGCTTGTACAGCAAGAACTCTTATTCATGCAGCTATCTCTCCAGCATCTCAACTGAGATCTATAAATGTTTTGGTTTCAGAGTGCTACCATAAAAATTAAACACACACACACACACACACACACACACACACACACAAAATATGTAAAACCTCCTCCCCTCCATAATTGAATTAGAGTATTTGCCGACTTATGTTTTCGGAGGGTACAAAATATCAAGTAATAATTTAGTACAGACAAAAATAACAAATTTGAAAGAAAATTTACTAGAAAAACTGACACTTCTAAAGATCACTGGTCTGCCGACAGAATTCTACACCTAAGCAGTTGCTTTCCTGGACATGGTTCTAATTGTAAACAAAAGATTTTCCTAGTGCTGTGCAAAATCTCCAGGAGACAAGAACAATGGGATTAAAAGATCCACTAAATTGACAACTGCATCAATTGCCCGTTTAAACAAACAGAACTAACCGGAAGGGTAAAATTCAAACAAAAAATGCTGAGGAAACTTCAAAAAAATGATAAAACTTCAAAGGGAAGTTTTTTCATCACATTTCAAACATTCTTTCAGTACCAAAAAAAAAAAAAAAAAGATAAATGACTTAAAATTGCTATGGAAGTCCTTCTGTATATGTGTTGCTTTTATTGGTTGATGAATAAATCTGTTTGGCTAATGGATTAGCAGTGTAAAGTCAGGTGGGAAATTGACAAATTGCCATGGCTAGTGACTGACCAGGCGGCAAGATGTCTCTGTCAATTCTAGAACTTTGGAAGTTGCTTTCAATGCACTTCCTGTTTACTTAGGTAATATATCCTTCAAGAGTCTCTAAAGAGTTAAAGACAGATAGTTATAGTTTTCCTTAGTTATGATAAAAGATAAATTAGATATAAAACTTTAGACTCACAAAGATGGGATAAATGATAGCGTATTTTCCTTAATTTGCCAAATGTAAATGAACTAAATAATATAATAACTATAATTCTTGCTTGATAATTGTTTTGTATATGTAATTTTGCTATGATAAACTTAAAACCTTCCCTTTTAGTTAGACAGAAAGGGGAAAATGATGTGGGAAGTCCTCCTGTATATGTGTAGCTTTTATTGGTTGATGAATAAATCTGTTTAGGCCAATGGCTTAGCAGAGTAAAGCCAGACAAGAAATCTGAACAGAGATATAGAGAATAGGTGGAGTCAGAGAGACTCCATGTAGCTGCCAAAGGAGACAGTCACCAGAGAACCTTACCCAGTAAGTCATAGCCTCATGGTGATACACAGATTAATAGAAATGAGTTAATTTAAGATATAAGAGTTAGCCAGAAATATGTCTAAGCTATTGGCCCAGCAGTGCTTTCAGTGTTTTAATTAATATAGTTTCTGTGTGATTATTTGGGTCTGAATGGCTGGGAAACTAATGGACAGCCTCACCTACACAAAATTAACTTGGTTTTAAAATTTTAAAATCATTTGCTTTTTAGCTAGAGAAAAAATGTAATCCAGGAAAAAGTAAATTACACTGTTTAAACACAAAATAAGCAATAGAGAAGCATAACAACATATATATACATATATATGTGTGTGTGTGTGTGTGTGTGTGTGTGTGTGTGTATCCATCCATCCACATAGGAAGGGTTTCTAAGTGAGAATCCCACTTGATCCACTAGGCTGAGATACAGCACACCTCTGGAGGTATTGCAGGGCTTTTCTAGGGACAAATGGATCTTGAGGGCACTAACCTAATCTACTTTATCCATTGATAGATTGAAAAGAACTGAAAAAGGTGAGGGCTCATAGATAAAAGAGGATGCTGTGGGGTGTTCCTTGGGGGTCTTGTGTTGGCCCTGGCTACTTCCTACTGCTCTGCTTTGCTTCTTGTTTTCCACTTGTGTTTATCTCCCTTACTGATGTCACCTTTGGGGAGGGAGACAATGAAGGGCTACAGTTAACCTATACGCCCCACTTGTCCAAAGACAGAAAACTTCCTGGAATGTTGTGACAAGTCACATGTTTTCACTTCAGTAAACAAGGGTGGATGCCCCAGGTTGTGCTTGATCAGTCGGAGGTGGAGGCTGATGTATGCTTGCCCCCTTGGGCAAAGGTGGAAAGAAACCACAG